TCACGAAGCAACCCGACTATACCATCTCAGAGCTGGGCTATCCGCAGCTGCAAGAGCAGCTGTGCTCCGATAAATGCTATAAGCAACCTCGCCTACTAGAGCCCTGCTTTCGTCACAGTCCCAGTCTGACCCCTGGTCGGAGTCCGAGTCGTCTATTGCCGTTACGCGAGACGCTGGACGATTACAACAAGCGGCTGCTAAGTGAACAGGCGGCGAGCTGTGAAACGAGTCGGCAACAACAACACTGGGAGGCAAATGATAAATTGGCACAGCAGAAAAGGCAGAAGAATCTGTGGAACGAGCAACAGCAGCAGAAGCAACAACAGCAACTACAGTGGAACAGAACGAGGTAAAACAAATCGTAAATTATAAAGTTATCAAGGTCTCACTCTTTAATTATATCACTTCTCTGTTCTTTCATTCGTTATCAACAGCAATCAGAAAGGTCGAGATATAGCACAAGTAAAACGAACAACGTTGCTGACTTACGATTTGAATAGCTTCTGATAGCACTGAAGAAAGGAATCGCATTGGAGGTGGAGCTTGAGAGCTGAACTACAATAATTTAAGGACTGATTAAACGTGCTAAATTTAATATTAAACATTGTGTACACTCATTTTTCGCATAGATCTTTAAGCTAGTTCTAAGTAAATCAAATATGCAATAACATTTATCATTTTATTGCATGCCACGCAAATCGTTTTACCTTTTAAATGGAATTTCAACGGCTCATTAAAAATGTAAACGGGCTATGGCAACGGGCACTGTTCAGATACAGATACAACTATGAGTATGCGTCTATACAGACACAGAAACAGATACAGCTTTATACACGCAGCTACAGCTACACGAGCTTCAGATACAAATTCGAATTCAACCAAAACGTAAACAAAACAAAAGCGAAAAAAAGAACACAAATTAAAGAGCCAAAAATGGCGACGACTCTACGGGCGTCCAACCTTGATCATGAGCATGTCACAGTCAAGAGGCGACTGTCTAGGGGCGTGTGGCCCATTAAATTAGCGTTTTCGGACGTGCTCTCTTTAAATGGCTTAAATTGTGCACACAAGTTGCGTGCCAACTGAAGCATTAGGAAGCGCTCGAGAAGAGACAACAAATTATATGCTCTACAAAATATAAGTTCACTGATTAGCTTTAGCATTTAACAATAATGTATACAAATTGATTAAAGAACATTTTGAATCAAAGAGCTCAAATTAATAATTTAGTTGTAACTAAATGATCTCCCATGTTAAATGGGTTCAGGCTATAAGGTGAATCGAACACAATCAACATGATCACGATAAAAACAATTAAATATGAATTCCCATTATTTAAATAAGATATTTTCTAAATAAAAGCCAGAAGGAAATGGATAACAAAATTTAAGATCATTGATTAAACGATCAAATGAACGTGATGAAGATGATTTGATTTAGGATTAATCTGATTCGAAATACGAAAATGACCTCAACTAATTGAAAACTTCACAAAAGATAGCACATTTGATCAAAGTATACCCGACCATCAGTTTATTATTATTGATCACTATATATGCTGTCATATAGATTCTCTAACTGATATGATTCATCAGATGTCAGTACTATTACCAATCATCAAAACGAATATATGAATAAAATAAAATAAAATAAATATTGAGGTATATAATATATTCACCGAGTTCATCTAGTTCCTAGCTCAAATACTATGATTGGTTTTGTTGTAATTTTAGCGTGTGTTCATGTATACTTCATTAGAGCTAAAAATCGGCGTTTTATGACGGTTCATCAGATCAATGACCAAAAAATGAATAAACCCCTTTATGCGCTAAAGTAAGGTTTAGCTTTACCAAAGAAGATATTCTTTTATATTACATAAACCTTCCTTTAAACTCAAAGCATTAAGTGCTTATAAAAGTCATTGTAGTGCATCGTATGGCCTATAATAATGAATAAAGAAAATGTATGCTATAAACTAAATTGCCTGTGAACATGGCGGCAATTCGGCTAAAGTTAAAGTTTTGGCGCTGTGGGCTTATCAGCTGATAATGCTCTTGACCTTATTGCTTAATTGAATTGTATTCGGTAAAGCCGTCTTACTTCAGTGGATAGCAGCGGATACAATGTGATCTAAAAAAGTGTTTTTTTTTTTTTGGGAAAATAACGGACAGGATGTCGAATATGTGATGACGAAAGCGAACGAATTACCAAAGATTAAGTGCACAAGAAAGCAGACTGCCAATCCCTATATACCTGACAAGTTTTATTGACTATATAGAGTCGAATAAGAATTGTAATTATAATGTCGTCTCATTGAACTCACCTGAATAGATTGTCGGAAATGAGCAAGGTTTCAATAGCTTGCGCCTCTGCAGCGCGCAGCACATGCTTTTTTCCATAGAAAGCCTTGGTTGGCTCACATTGTAACATCATGTAGAACGTCTCTAAAGCCTTCACCTCACCCAGGGCTTTTGTGTCAGACATTTTAGCTATCACAGCGGGATCCTGTAGAGCCTCTGTGAAAATAGATATTACTACCTATTCAAATTTCAATAGTTCGATCACTTACGCACCTTTGAGCGAATGCTTAAACCCGGAAGATGCATGGACTAGCATGAATCTGCTTTTATTATCCAACAGCACTTTGTAGTCCATTTTGACCGCCTGCTGGAACATATAGTCGTAGAACTGGTCTCGCACAAAGCCCGGAGACGCAATGAGTACACACTTGACTATTTCGAAGTTGACGTGGCGTAATATACTCTGCATGACTTGTTCGTAGAACTTGGCCAGGCCCTTTTCGTGCTGCTGCACATTGCCCTTGCGCTTACGCGGAATGGACACTTCGATTTTGCTTCGCACCAGTGTCATGCTGGCCGTGATGAGGCAGACATGGGCCAATCCCTCTTGCATAACAACCGCCGCAACATCAGCCGATTGGGTGGGATCGCAGGCCATATCAATCCGCTCAAGAGCGATTGTATCCCACTCTGGTTTACGCAACTCAAATTTGCGATTCAGTTCCAGATCGAGTGTATGATAGGCGCCCATTTTAACATACTGATTCTCCTCGATGTTGCGACCCTTCAGACGCAGCACACAGGCCTGCGTGTCAAAGTCGATGCTCTCCACGGCAATGGTCAGTGTGGTGCGTACTCGACTGCTGGTGGATGATCCGGTGGCCGTTTCATTCTGTACCTTTCGTATGGTGGTGCTACGGACGCTATCACCCTCAGCAATCAGATTGTAGGCGTGCCACATGTCCTCCGGCTCTTCGGGCACGAGAGTTACATTACTGCATTGGGGTATGACATTACAAGCTTTTCTTTACATATACGCATATAAATATCAGCAGCACTTACCCCTGCATGCCCTTGTCTACATATTTGCCAAGCAACTTCATGTTGCAATCCGTGTTTTTTGAACTGAGCCGCCGCCGTCTGTTACCAGCAGACGTTGAATTAGTGCGCTGCTCCTCTTATATTTGTTGTTGTTGGCGTTGCGTGCTTTATGTTTTTTGCTTTTGTATGCTTTTTGTCACTTGCATTGAATTAAATGTTTCCTTAAGTAAACCGAATTGTTAGGCATTGTTATTATTTGTGTGTTTGTCGTTAAACTTGACCAACAAATTATTTCAATGAAAATTGCCAAATTCCACACGGCGAACTCTTTGACATTTTATAACAGCTGATCGACCAGTGTTGCTAAATGGTTGTAGAGTACACCATGCGCTCAACTATCGAATGGAAATTTGTCCATTTTTGTTATTAAAAACCCGTTTTTAAAAATATGTTTCCTTTATTGATACAGTTTATATATTTGTACGCATTTTAAGAATAATCTTTTAACTTAAACTAACAGCCTTTCTATTTCTTGCTGTATGGATGTAATCTGTGATTTCAGCTGACTGCCCTCGTTGGTGGTCACAGAGCAGGCCACAATGGGACGAGAAACACCACAGGCACGGCCCAATGCCTGCTTGGAGCGCACAAACACATACGGCACATTCTTGTCCTCACACAGCAGCGGTAGATGCAACAGAATCTCAATTGGCTCTGTATCACCAGCCAGCACCACAATATCAGCCAGACCACGATTCAGTGTCTTGGTGGCCTCGTTAGCTCCCTTCCTCAACTGATTATAGTTGAGTGCCTGCTGTAACAAATTCATAATCTTGGCCGTCAACTGGGCATCGGCCAAGGGGAATGCTTTCGGGTTCACCTCTTCGGTCTGTATAGAATTGAAGTTTGCATTAGTGAAACACGTTCTAATTAATATTAAGATTCACACACATACCATTTTCTTGAATGTTCTTTTTGTATATTTGTAAAAATACAAATGCAACCTCTCGGCTTGTGTGCTTCACTGAGGGGCAGAATTAAGAATGAAACGTTTATAGAAACACGTGCGCTGCCGCGATTCTTTGCATCTTTCCAGCACTGAAAAATGTGGGATATTTTGAACAAGTGGCAGCGCTACATATACACCACTGAGCGATAACATTGTTATCGTTTTACTTAAGCGCCAAATACAAACGAAAAAGACATTTGCATATCGTTTTCCAAATTTCCGTCGGCCCAAAAATTATACTAGTAATTGATGTAGATAACTTATTATGGTGATGTCGATCCACTTCGAATACCCTCTTACCTGACTTATTGTTAAAATGAAAATAAAACAAAATTGATTTCCAAAATTCCCGTTTTATCTAATAAGGAAATCGGGAGGTGGAATCGTACCTTGTCAAGCTACCGAGTATTGTCTGATAAGATAATCATAGAAAACAGATCCAGGATAAATAATTGGCGATGCTCCTCAGTGGCTTATCCTCAATAACAACAATTCACTAACAATAATACAAATATGAATCGATTTCACTTAAAATCCATTCGTTGTTTATTGTGATTCGTAAATGTGAAGCACAATTCCAAATTATTTAAACAAGCCAACACACACGTCAGTGTTCATCCCGCTCAAAACAAAACACAATTTTGGGAATCTTACGTTAAATACAAAGGGAATTCTCACTTTTTATTACCAATTCATCTTGTATACAATTTATTTAGAAGTTCCTGCAAGGTAAAAAGGAACTAGTTATTGAATTGGCTATACGGACGTATTAAACAGCAAAAACTTACTTGGTAATGAGACCATCCTTCTTGGCCAGACGCACAATGCAATCGTCGGACTCGCCCATGCGACGGATTTCTCCGCAAATAGCATAAGTTTTGGTTCCGTCGGTTTGGCGGCCGGTTTCGGGATCCACAACAACAATGCTCAGTTGCACAGAGGCGTGATCCTTAGCGTGGATGATTCTGTTTGATGCCGAGCTGTAACAATACAAAAAATTATCCAATTGCCAAAATATCGGCTGCAATTGCTGGGCTGTTTGTCGTGGAAACACGTGTTCAATACTCACCATTTGCGGGGCACGTATAAATCAACATTCTCACCGGCGTCGTTCTCCATTGTGCTGCAACCGAGAGTAAGACATTTTATTAGTATTTTAAAATTGTTTTCATTCGTATAAATGGTATTTGACGTACATTTTGTAATATTTTACAAATTAGCGACCCAACACTCGTCAATGGAGGCTGAAAAGAGAAAGAGTGAAGTTGGCTGCGCTACAGGGTTGCAAAACTATCGATAAAAGTTCAGCATAATTGTTCTGGGAGGAATTTTTTAATAAAAATAAATTTAAACTTTTAATATTTCATTTTATTTTCTGCAAAGAAACAACTGTTTTTCTTTTTTTGCTTGTCTAAATTTTTCAATATATAAGTAACGGTATATATGGGTTTGTATTTACGTATTTAAGTTCTTTATTAAGGTTGCCGATAATATTATTTAGTTTCATACGTAAAAACTTCGGTACCGATTTAGCTACAATAATTTAATATTATAAAGTAGTTTCTTTAAATCTGAATATAAATTTCCATACAAAAAATTGTTTTTTTTTCTATCGCTTGTTGTTGTGGAGGCTATCGATGTTCCTTATCGAATATATCGATTTCTCGAAAGCCTTTCATAAATATTTATTAGTCGTTTGGCAATGTGAAAGAGAAGTGCTGTGCTGCATCAAATTTGGCGCCGGAGCTTTCACGGCCTCAGCGCCCATTGCTAAATCGGTAGCTATTCAACTATAGTGCTGTATCGATAGAGTAGAATAATTAAATTAGTGGCAAAGTGTTTGTGTTAATTATAAATTGGATACAAGTGAACGCGCTCATTGGTTACTTTAAATGTAAGTATTGATTTTGGACAGAGGCTGTGGCGTCGGCGTCCTTGATCCGGTGTCAGCGCTGATTTTCCCTCAATGGGGCTTCCGCAGGACTTTTTTGCTACTTTATGTGTATTTTTAAATGTATGTACATATGTGCGTGGGTGAGTTTATGTGGGTGCTGAGTGCGTGAGTTTGTTATTATTGCGAATCAACGCGTCTGGCAAACTTCAATATTTGCTCGTGTTGCGCCGCGTGCGACAGTAACTTTTAACTTTTAAATGCTTTAAGTAGCTGAATAAAGCTTAAATTCGTTTTAGCTATAGACAATACCTAAAATATTATTATATAGATTGATATTTGAAATAATCCAGTTAGATGATTCAAAACTAAAAAATGTAACAGTTTTTCTGTTAACATAAAACTGCGATTGATCACAATTTGCAAATGTTTAACATAGCCAATTGAGTATGAGATCTGTTTGTTCAGTTAATTATAAAATCTTTCATTACTCGTGTCATTGTTTCTGGAGCTGATTAATTAGGGCACATATTATTTATAATGAAGAAATGAATGAGGAAAAACTAGAAGTCAGTTAGTTTTAAATTTGCGCCTCAAAGGTTAGCATTAGCATACAATCAAATTAAAATGAACATAACACAACACTTCAAAAATCTTAAAATAGGTTAATTGAGCGCCTTAAATTTTAAATTTGTTCTTTTTAACCGTTAAATTTAATTTGGCATTCAGAATTTTAAGGCTTTCGTTGTTGACTAGTTAAATAGTAACCAACTTGAAGCTAGCTATGTACATTGGCTCGCAAGTTGCTTAGCTCAATAAAGCTTAAATAACTTAAGATTCTTTTTATCAGAGCGAAGCTGGTTCTGCAATACAACTTTTTGCCGTGCCCGCTCAGTTGCAGTGTTGCCAGATTAGCTATTTAATAGCATTTTTAGCTATTTTTGAACCCTAAATGCTATGAAAATTTTGAAAATGCTATTAGCTATAAATTTAGCTATTTTACAAACGAATATTTTGAATTTGATTTTAGTATTTAAAGCAAAAAAATAAAAAAAATAAAAACATTTTTCGATTAAGTCCCAAATTGTACGTAATGATCTGCGCGATACTACCACCACGACTTTGTCGTACTTATACCATCACTAGTTGTGAATTTATACCATCGCTAATTCTTCTTGCGCAGCAATGGCAAATGCTGCCATGATTATACCGTGCCTTCCAAATATTTAAAAATGATTCCAGTTAATCAAAAATATAATTCTGATGATGATTTGGATGTGGACCAAATTGTAACATTATTAAATAACATTTAAAAATAAAATTTAAAGTAAATGCATAATGCATAAAGGTTTCAGCTATTTTGTAAGCTATTTTAAAATTTGTTTAGCTATTTTCAGCTATTTTTTAGAGACGATTTTGCTATTTTTATGTCTCAAAACCTGGCAACACTGCTCAGTTGGCTTTCAACTTTCGGCTCGTTCGGTTGGTTCACGCTACTTGCTCTGCCAAAAGCTGTGCGGCGTGGTTGTCATACATATGTATGTATGTACATGATACAGACATACATATGTGTGTAGTAGGTGCTCTGCGGTACGTTGCAGTCGTAAATATCTGGAAGACAGTTCATAAGGCGCCGGCGGACAGCCTCTTGACCTTTAGCGCGTATGTGTGTGTGATTTTTTGCATATTGTAGTAAACGGAAAAATGTAAATTTAAATGAGATCATTTAGCTAACGTGTGATGCTATTTATAAATTACATATATAAAAAGAAAACATGATAGAGAAAAATATAATAAATAATTGTCGCGAAGGTAAATGAAAGTGAAACCAATTTTAGGTAAAGACACTTAATTAGCTTCAAATAAATATGCATAAAATTCAATAGTTTTTGTTAGGAAATAATCAAAAATGTGCATGGTTGAGAGTTAGCTTACAATTAGAGAGTACAATGTTATTATTGCTGACCATATCGACGGCCTTATGAATTTGGGCAAACAAAACCATAGTAATTGTTGGCATAGCTATCGAATCAACAGCTTGTTAAAAGCTGTCAACAAAAAGCATTTATTGTATCAAGTACTTATCGCGGTATAGATAAAGCAATCAAAACTATTTATTATAGCCCAACAATAGATTAACGAACAAAATAGCTTTGTAAGATTTAGTGATACTAGGATAACTACAAATTGTATTAGGAATTCGTTCTATAAATATCACAACTAATAGGCAACTAAAATGATATCAGCCACGCCCATAAGGGGCGAAACTATGAAGTTGATGTCTGGAGACAGTAGATGGTGGTCTATAGTAATTACAGACTATATAGGTATTTAAATTTCTTTAGATTTGCGAATTAGTTTGTGCTTACACAGACAGAATTGCATAGACCCAATACACCTTATTTTGTCTTCGGTAGCAAGTGTAATATTCAACAGCCCACGTTTACAGTTAGAATCTGATACGACAGCATATGAATATAAGCAACGACAAAAAACTATGCCTCAAAAAAACTAATATCAAAAGAAAAACTCAGAACGCGTAAAGCAAAAGTAATTAAACTGAGCCCACATTTACTGTTGCAATCTGATATTCCCGCGTATAAAAACATAAAATAGAAGAACAGTACGACCTCGCTAAAGCATACACCTCTATACAGCTAACATTTTCGTTCACTTCAAAATATCTAATATGTGTTTGACATTTTTTAACTTTAATAATTTCAATTACAAAATGTGTTCAATAAATTAATCCAAATATGTCCGCAACAGCGAAGCTTCACTGTACATCTTAAAAAACCGTGATGTCAGCACCAAAATGCGTGCCTGCTGCGCCGCATGTTGTTGATGACGTCTAAGAGTACATGTAGAAAACTTTAAGTAAAGCACTTTCTAGGTCAAAAGTTGAAAGGCAACGAGTCGCTGATGATGATGCTTGTAGCTAGAAAAAAGTAGCATCAAAAGAGAGATGAAAACAAAACCGAAATGTGGTCTGCCTGTGAAGCAAACAAACCACGAAACAAAGTAAATGTGCTGGCAGACAAGTCCATTGCCCCTGCCCTGCTTAGACCCGGGCCCAGCCGGGCCACCTGTCAGCTGTCGATAGGAAAATTGTAAAATTAAATGAAAATAATAGTAATAATAATTGGCCGCAACATGCAAAGTCTTAGAAAATTGCAGGGCAATAAATGAAATTAAAGATAATTGCAATGCATTTAACTCAGCCAAAGTAACTAAGAAATTGACGTAAATTCATTTCGCATAGATGATGAAGATGTTCTGGTCATAGGCAAAACTTGCTACTACTAAAAAAAGTACATCATTTCTTTAGGGCTCTCAAATATTCTTTTATATATAGATTGAAAATGAGAGTTCAAGGTATTATGTGTTTGCTGAAATAAACCTATAAATAGCGTAAATGCATTCGAGTTGACCGTAGTCTTATCTGTCTACATATCTGTTAGCATATCCATCAGTTTGTCGTCCGTGGCATGCCAAGGCCTAAGTCAGCTGAAATTTTCCACACTCAGATCGATATCTCCAAATATGCAATGAAAAATGCTGGAATGTTTCTAGCAGCAGCTAGGCAAATTTTCAAGATATCTCTAGTCGGACACTCCCGATTCGAGTACTTGTTGTTTTTTATAAATATTAAATAAATATTAAAAATTTTTATTTAATTCGTAGGATTAGATTGTTGCGTTATATGGCATTCGTCATATTATGCCACAGTTGGATTTGAAGAGTTAAAAGATAACAGCATACTCCGGGTCGTTTCTAGCAGCTCTATTTTCTTTAAGTCTATACTAATTATTTTATATTTGTGCAAAGAAGTTTTCTTTATTGCATGAAATACGAATCAAAAGAACTTTAAATACCTTCCATTTTTATTATTTTAATTTTTTATAGTCGTATAACTCACTTGACAATTCGCAGCAATTATCCACTAGAATGTAAGAAAATAGTTGTGCAAACTTTTATCTGAGTTCCAGATATTTTGATCAGCTGATCAACTCAGGATATTTGATTACAGAGTTAGCTCAAATGAGGCAATATATTCATTCATATCGTGCGTCTGCTCTATTATTATAGTCTTCGTTCTAATTTGATTGCAGTGCCATGACCCTTAATTCCCAAGAATCAACTGTCTATTCTGTTCACTCTCGCTACCCAATAATTATTTAAGGACCTACTATAATTAGATCCTTTGGGCGACCACTTGTTTTCAATTGCATGCCAATCTTGTTCTTTTCTTGCCTATTCCCTTTTGTACTTTGAAGAGATTTGCTGGTTGGGAAACCTGTCGTTTGCCAGCTATTCCCCACGTCTCACTCCTCTGCATCTTCATCTCCTGTATAGAAGCCCAGCTATCTGTGCAGCTTTATTTTGATGTGCCCTCTCATTTGGCTGGCTTGAATTTTCCGATTTTCTTATTTATTTTTTCTTCATTTTTTTTTTTTTTTTTTTTTTGCAGCGCTTGAACTTGGCAAACTTTGAAACTGACGGGCGGTGAGTCGGACGGTTCCTCGATGGCGATCTCTGATGTTGTTGTTGTTGCTGCCATTGTTGTGATTTGATTGGTGCCAGTTACTGTTACTATTGTTGCTGTTGTTGTTGCTGCGCTATTACTGTTAACTAGAAGTTGTTGGTGCTGTTTTCTGGTGCTCGACCTGCAGCTGGAGTTGGAGTTGAAGCTGGAGCGACTGCGTTACACTTTGTAAATCGGTCAATGGTAACGGGCTTGTAAGCAGGTGCAACTGCAACTGACAGAGAGAGAGAGAGAGAGAGGAAGAGTTATATAAAACGGCTGAGAGGAGACAGCAATCAAACCATGTCACTAAAGGTGAGTTTGACCTATAAAAAGTTGCTTACGGGCAAGTTTGCAAAGTCATTCGGGCGGCTTCTAGGGTGCATAAGCTATAAGGAACGTAAATACAATATACATATAAATCTATTAATATAATATAGAAGACAGACAGTTCGGGCAATAGGTGAAGTAGTTTACCGACCTAATTAACCAACCATCAACCAAATAACTCAGCACTTCATTATCTTATAAGCTCTCCATCTATTTAGTTGAACGTCATTTTAGTGTACAGAATACGCTTCGAATTAGTAGAAAAGATATTCAAACTATAATACATATACAATATTATTAGGGCTCCAGAAAAATACTTTTAAAAAATTATGTATGGTTTAAGATCTAAATCCTTAAAAATTTAGCAATTGTACATCAAGGAAACCTTTCAAAATGTTGCGTGATTCCATATAAATAAATACAAAATATTTGATATTATTTATCTAAGTCTAAGAGAATCCTGTTCTCTTAGAATTACCTACTCGAAAAAGGCCAAATATGCGAACTTTTAACTTGAAGAAAAAATCTTAAAAACGGCGTGAAGATCTATCATTTAAGAGGATAATAATATTTACAAATATAGATCATAACTTTCTCGGATGTAAGCCATTGGAGCAGAGGCAATCCAATTTACTTCATAATATAATATTGAATATGAATTTGATATGATATTATTAAATATAGAACATTTCTCATAAAGGTTGACTTTTAAGTCTTCCAGACTTATATATGTATGTAACTTTGTTTAAGATTACGCTTATCTAATCTTAATCTAATTTACTCAAGAAGCAAGATGAAAGACCAACGCCATGCATCAATAAAATATATAATTCATACCTATAGAATGGTGGCAGTGGGAAGTGGAATATATACTATATTTAGTATACGAATGTATCAACATCATTTAGCTATATTTGGAATTTTCATTTTTCCATTACATTTCTCAATAGCTTTCAGCTGTTCTTTTACAATCGACTAGCGCATACTTCATTGTATTTTCTACCTAACTCTTATACTCTATTGGCTAAGCTGATAAAGCGACACAATAAGTCACAAGAAGGCATAACATATTATCTCTTATAAAGCATCTGTTTATCCCATACCCAATAAAATTATTCTCTTAGATCTCAGAATAACGATCCAGATTCTCATTATTTTGATAGAACTGATGACATCTCGACATCTCTGAAGATTGTCATGCATAGAGCATCTGTCTGTCTGTCATATCCGACTGCAGTGTAGTGTACTCACTTATTTGTCTGGGCTCTTAGTTCTTAGTCTTCGCCCTACTTTAATTTAAGTCCAATAAAATGGCATTAGTCAAGCTGATAAAGCGAGTGAATATATTATACTTGACTGTAATTGCAGAAATATCAAGTCAACGGCCCATCGCAGGCACTCGTCACACACACACACACATACACAGTCAGGTGTGTGGCACAATCGTGTTGCAAGACGTGTCTAGTGCTTGTCTGAAGACTAACAAGTGCTTCTCTCACCTGCTGACATTTTGGCTTGTCTATAAATATTGCAAGCATCATCATTATCATCAGCGCCGTCATCATTATTATGCCAGCATTTGCATTGTTGCCACACTCTGTGGCAGCTTGAGTGATGTCATGTGCCACTTGGCCGTCTGTCTGTATTGCCTTTGTTGTCTGCGCTCAACAGGTGCCTCGCTGCCCCTTGCCCCCTCGCCTAATGCGCTTCATTTACTCACGAGTGGACAGTCTAAGTCTCAGTGTCTATTTAAATAGTTCAAATATTTATTGTACGTTTATTTCCTCTCGTCAAACAGATTTGTGAACAGCACATCAGTTAAGCCCCGACATTAGCGCAGTTGAGTGAGTCTTAACCCTTGGGTGTGCCAGGCGCGAAGAGCCCCCTAAATAAATAAATAAGCATAGTTAAAGGTTAACTGAATTGTGCTTTGAACTGAAATGTTTCATATAAATTTTGCAGCATTTCAGTTGTCATTTTAATATACTAAAAGTAATATCAAGAAAAACGTTCTCTTTTATTAAATAAAAACTTAACCAACAACGATAACCCAATGAATGTATCATATAATAGATTGATTGTTTGAGGAGAACAAAAATAATCTTTTTTAATAAAATAATCATTTAAAATAAAATAAATAATAATAATAATAATAATATTTACAAATGACTTACCTAAAACTTATTTACAATTTACAAAAAAGTAAAATTAATTAATTAATTATCAATTAAGTAGATAATATTTTTGTCTAAATTTTTTCTTTGAAATGAAGTATAATCAACGCCAGCACCTACGTCAATTTAGCCCACTTCATCTGTATCTCGCTTCGTTTTTTATTGTACTCCGAATCGATAACAAAGTATGTTAAACGTCCTAAATTTACACTCCGATCAGTATCCAGTCTCATGCACTATATAGCTATTTGTTCACTTTCCCAACACCATAGGTTAATGTTTACTTTAATATTAATTAAAAAATAAACTCAAATCTAGTTTTCTGTATAATGATCGTATATATGTGGATTGTGTTTCAAATTAAAAATTGTTTAATATTTTAACACAGCAACATATCTCAATTAACAATTAGCATTTTGTAATTATCTACTTCTTAAGTAAACCTCAGATAATACAATTCTTATTGCTTTTAAGTCACCAAGCACCCAGCTCTAATAGAGTGCATCCATCTACGGGTTAACACATCCACATATTGTCTGTTTGTCAAAGCGTCCGCAAAGCATTGTAAAAATGCATCAACATCCGCTGGTCGAAGTTTCCCAGGTCTTTTTGCTGTTGTTCGTCTTGCTGAGCTGCCCCCCTGGCCACTAATTACTTTAATTAGCTGTGTGGGGAAACTAATTTCCTACATAAAAGTGACTTAGGAACTACTGTGTGGGTGTCGAATACCTCACGGAACTCCGAATCGAGCGGCGGCATCATTAGTCAAGTGGTGCCTCCCTTTTGACAGCTGCCCCAGATGAAGTTGTTAATCAGTTTGTTTATGATTTTCTCTGTTTCGATTTGGATTTATCTTACAGAAGGAAACTCCCTCGGATGTGATGCTGCATCTGGCGGCGCTGCGAGGCGACGTTGTCGAGATGCGCCGCGTGCTCGATACTGGCAAAGTGCATGTCGACTGCAAAGATGAGGTGAGTAATGAGAACTGAGTAATGCAACAGGAAATGAAGAGGAATGTGTCTAAGACTTGGCCATAGTACCCAATCTAGCGTATACAGTATATCCGCTTGGCTGAGCCGAACGAGACGATCTGGACTCTAGGAGTCGGCGTATATCGAAGGAATGTGGGATTGGAATGTATACTAGTGGGACCTAATATGGAATATCTGTTTATAAAAGACATTGTGACAATTGTCGATAAATAGAACAGAATGATCGAGAGTCTTTTGTGGGGCATGTAAAACAAGTTTGTCTAGAAAATACAATGCAAACAAATGGAAATTTTTATACTCCCAATATTCATTTATTATATTGTTTTTAAAAATATTGTGAAAACATAAACAAAATGTGATTCCTTAAAGAAAATTTGAAAAAGAAGAGCATTTAATGCGACTATTTGTTATCAATGAGAAAACATCAGCTGAAAGATAGTGAAACAGAAAATCTTGTTAATTCAATGAACAGTCTTAAATTATATAATTGATATATCATTAACTTAACAGATTAAACGCTCGAGATAAATTCATTGCCAGCTGGTTGAATTATTTAATTGAGCGTCCAATGCATTTAACTGCAATTGCGATTAGTTTTCACCAGTCAAAGCGAGATTCAAATTATATCGTTTCGTTTTGTTATACCCTCTATTCAGCTGAAATGCAGGTATAATGAGCTGTGCTAGTCGAAAGGAACTGGCCGTTTACTCTGTTGATGCGATGAAAAGACAGAATATCTTTTGGCTTACTTCGAAATTATATATATATATATATATATATATATATATATATAGATATACATTACATTTTTTTTTTTTTTTTTTTATTTCAATTTTTGCTAGTTTTTAAATACATAATAAATTCATGAAAATTATTTTTTTTTGCGAAATGGGGTTTCTAGCTATTAAATCAGATGGCAAGATTTTTCCCTTTAGGCAATTGGTAAAATAAATGAATGAATTCTTTGCTCAGATTAGATGAGAACAAAAACTCGAAAAAAAAGTATAAGAAGAAATCCTTCAATATTCTTTGTAGATGTTTCTAAGCAATTGGGTTAACACGTTAAAAAATTCTTCAATAATAAATTTTGTATTTATTTATTTATTTAGTAGATATTTGTGTAAAAATATTGAAAAATTTTTCAATTATAAATTTGATAGATCTACATGCAGATTCTTGCAGGGTATCTATCAGTCTATATACGTCTGGTTTGCTTTGCTTTTCGTTTCATTTCGTGTTGATTTGCATGCGTGTAGCTGAGCGAAATCGGAGCGAAAATCACAAATCTCTGTCCGAGCTGCAGCTGCCCCATCGGGGAAGCACAGTCACGTAGCGGGGTGTTGGGGCGTATTTGCCCTTGTGTGTTGTTTGAGGCCAACTCAGAGAATATGGCCAACTGACCAGGCCTGGCGAACTATGCTTTGGAATTTGCCTGCAGCTCATTCAGCTGACTGCGCCTCAAGTGAAAATTTATTTTTATTTAATTTCAAGTTTTATTTATTTATTTTTTTTTTATTTTTGCATTCGTTTTCTTTGCCAATTGGTGCGTGCATTTGTAAACAACGTGTTAATTTGTCTTTAAGGTGAAAATGGGTGTTGAAATATATATATATATATATATATATTTTTGTTCGTTAGCTGAAAATGTTGTAATATTTTGCGAACGATTTCATGCTTTAGTAGATTAGATCCCAATCATGAACAGCTTATATAATATCATTTTGTGTCACTTTACTTTAGTTTATTCATTCCAATGTTGGCTAATTTTAAATAGCTGTAATTAGGAGAAGAAGACTTTGAATCCAATATTAATAAAAATAATAATGCTGATTTAAAGAAAAGTTATATTAATAAATAAATATAAAGAATATTTATTATTATGACATATATAAAAATTTGACTCAGATTAGATATCATTTTGCTTTTAGAAATTTGTCCATAAAGGAATAAGTAGTAGAGCTCAAGGACATCAGGAGTAGTTCCGAGGAGCAAAATTTCGATGATATAGTATTTATAGTGAGGATATTATTCAAAATATTGAAAGAACCATCGTTTAAACCCATTATAAATATTAAACTAATATAAGTACAATTTATAAAAAATACATTAGGGATTGCATTCATTTAATAACAGGTTAATGTTATTTGAAAAATAGTCTACGATTTTATGTACCCCGATCACATTAACTAACTTAAGTATCTGAATAGAAATGCATATAGTTGAGGAGAGTCAGAAATGTGTGATTCCGAGTCTATATATTAATGGATACAATCTAGTAAAATGCAGATAGGCCAGAGTTCCTAGCTAGGCACTGCCGATTAAAACTTTTTACTTAATTTTGTATATAAACTATAATAATATTCAAAATAATAATGAAAGCATATTGACGGAATTAAAATATAGCCAAATATTTGTATAAATTCTTATTTGAACTCTGAGAGAATATATCGTATAATAGATTAAAAATTAGGCAAAGGACCTATTAAGCAGACGTTTTTTGTTGTCTTTCAAACTGGAATGCGAAATGCCCACTGTAATTTAGATGGCTATACAAAAATTAACTGTTTTCTAAAGCCATCTAAACGTATTATCTCTGGTCTATTTATAGGATGGTACAACGCCTCTTATTCTAGCCGCAGCTGGGGGTCATATCCACTGCGTTCTCGAGCTCATCGAGCAGGGAGCCGATCTCAACGCGCGCCGCTCCACTGGCACCACCGCTCTCTTCTTTGCCGCCCAGGGCGGGCATTTGGACGTGGTGCGCATTTTGCTGAAAGCGCGCGCAAAGGTCGACACGCCCTCGCTCGACGGAGGCACGCCCCTATTTGTAGCTGCCCAAGGCGGACATGTGAAGATCATCAGAGAGCTGTTGGACTGTGGCGCGGATGTGAATGCCAGCATGAAGGTGCGACTGTTTCAACAGGACTCGCATTGCGTACAATTTTAATAAACTGTTTGTTTTCGCCTTTATTCAGGATCGTGCCACCCCCGCTTTTATAGCTGCGCAGAATGGGCATCGAACAGTTTTGTCGCTGCTGATCCTGGCCCACGCTTCGACGGACATCAAGCGCATCGATGGAGCCACCCCACTGTGGATAGCGGCCCAAATGGGGCACGATCACATATGCAAGGTGCTCCTGCAGAACGGAGCGAATATCGATACAGTGCGCTGTGACGGTGCCACGCCTCTGTTTAAGGCCGCCCATAAGGGACACGCCTCGGTGATCACAGTGCTGCTCAAGTATCGCCCGAATCTGGGTATATTGCCCAATGGGGAATCTGCTCTGCATGCGGCTGCGATGTTTGGTCACATGACGGTCTGCAAGCAACTCGTGGCAGCCGGAAGCGATGTCCTGCTCAAAAATCAGGACGGATTAACGGCCATGGAGTTGGCGCATCATGAGAACTATGGCTCCATCTGCGAATATCTGAAGGAGCGAATGCGCGCGGTAATGGAACGCAATACCTTGGCTATGGCCCAGATGCGTTTGTCAACGTAAAGGCCAGCCCATAGAGAGATATACACACACAAGTATATACTACTATATATGACCAAATCGAATCCCTTCAAAGTACCTTTTCTGCACAATACGTTGAATTATTTATTCACTTAAACTATGATTAGAACTTATGATGAAACAGCTAAGTTCTTTCGATTGCCACGGAGTTCGATAGAATATTCTGAATTTAGATACCGATTCAGCCACTGATATACACTGTATATCCTTTTTCTTTTGCAGATTACACAGCTAGATATCCTTTGTAGTGTTTATCTAAGAGGCATTATGTATGTAATAATCTGAATATATTATATGCGATTTATGCACACTTTTCATTACTTTTTGTACATATATTAAATGCAGAACAATTTAATTTATTACTGCTTCAAAAGCGTTTGATATCAATTTAAGAATCTACACTTTTATGCATATCTCTGAGAACGTTTAGTTTACTTTTGTCTATACTATAGTTAGGATATTTGAGTTAAACATATATTTTTATATATGAAAATATTTAAATTAATTCAATTCTTTAAGCTTTGAATCTGATCAAAAGTGGCTTAGTAGAGCAGCATTGTCGGAACTCTAAACTAGACATCAGAATATCATATGCTTTCGACTTATAGAAAAAACAAAAATATAAAAATGTAATCATATTGTACATGCATACCGAACCGATCCATTAAAATAGAATCTTTCAGAAAATATTATCTATAACTATATACATATGTATATCTATTTAAAGTTGATACCTCCGTGGCAAAATAAACTGTTTCATTTTGTTGTGCAATCAAATTATAGAAAAGTATAAACAAGTAATGGTAAAAAATAGAGAAAAATGTGGCCAAGCTAAGCGAGGGCAAAATCACCGATTACATATATATAAATAAATACCCAGATATATCATTATAATATATGTATTTATCTATACAACTACTTGGAGCTTGTATTTGAATTTACGATTACGATTACTTCTAGCAAATAGCTCATATATATATGATATGAAAACCTGTTAACATGGACCGCATCGTCCTTTGTATATAAATATATATTTAATACATTAAAATTATATATTTATGCATTCATGTAACCCTAAGCAATTGTTAACAAGTGCTTTATGTTTATTCGCCTTTTTGTCTTATCCTAATTAGCTATATTTATATAAATATATATATTTTGACTTAATTAGCTAATAATTATAATGAAATGATTATGTCGATTTTTCCCTATTGATTTATGCTCGTGTACATTAAATAGCAAATTATCACAAATTAAATATAAATATAGAATTCACTTTGAAATTTCGCGGCAATTTCAATAACATTATGTTATTCACTTAACGAAATGTTATCTTAACGAAACTGTTAAGCTGGTTCTCTGTAGAGTCAGCAGATGCACGCACCAACGCTTAGTACTACTAAGTTAGTACGGACACAGCTGTCGGAGAGGGGTGTAGGTTTGCGCGCGCTTTATTTACTATATAATAGAACTGCTTCGGGTCTTATATTAACATATAAAGTATTAAAACGTAACGTTCTTTTAATTCAATTACATTTAGTTCATGTGCAATGCAATGCAATAATTAATCAATTACAGTGTGTACATTACTACTATCTTATTCATTTGTGTTCAGTTTTATTTGCATTGTATATCAACTTAGTGTTATGTCCATTGTGCAATTATCTACATACATACATACATATGTGCAAGAATTGCAGGGAATTGTAAGAGGGCTGTTTTAAGAGTTTCGTATTCGTTACGAAGAGCGAATGTTGCAGAATTTGTTGTTGGTTAATTTGGTGGAACATGTTGCCAATGACGAAGAGCTTCAAACGTACTGCAAACGGATTTCAGTGCTCAGTTCGCTTTTTCTCACAATAGCGCGCGGACGTGGGGCCCGTCGTGTTGGCTCTCGTGTCATTTTTCCCGTTTCATGTTAGTATGTGTATGTAAGTCCGAGCGAACGCGTGCGTGCGTATGTGTAGGTGTAGTCGCGTGTCGTTGAATTATACAAAAGCAGCAGAGGCGGCAGCAACAACAATAGCACTACAAACGGTAGCGGCAGCTCCAAAAGCAGCGAAGCAGCAGCAGTAACATAATCAAAAAACATAAAAACAAACAACATAAGCACGAAAAAAAAATTGAGAAACGGAACATTTTTGGTGGCAAGTGTTCTCAGTGTGGCAGGCGGGCGGCGAAAATGCTTTAGACAATAAAACAGGTTTGCACTGTGGTATGCGAGCGCAAGACCAAGAGAGTAAGCGATAGAGTGAGAGAGAACGATAGAACGTTCTCTAAGAGAGCAAACTTTTTGCGAAAATTGACTGCATATAGCGATGATTTGAAGGGTGAAATAAGAGAAGTGCGAGGAGAACGTTAAATACATTTGCCACTTATTGTGTGCATCCTTTGGCAAGGTCTTTCGCAGACATACGCGCTTAATGCTTTCGCCACACTGTGCGTTGCTGCTGCAAACCAGTTTTCATTGCATTTGTTTTACATATTTTCAATTGTTTCAATCAATTGGATAAACCGTTGGCCGAGAAGACCGTTACTTCTGGGTTGCCAAGCTAAATAGAAATTCCAGGCAAGCAGCAATCAGTTGGCCCCCCTTTTCCATTCCCTATCACCCTGCACAAAACAGCTGAGCTTTTGCAGTCGAGCCCCTAGCAACAGCGCAGCAGAAGCTTCTCAGCTGTGCAGCCGCAGCGCAGGCGCCAGCACACACACACACGCGCATACATAGAGACATGTACTTCGAATTCGACCAGTAATTGCATTGCTGCCATCTCGCTCACGCATACATCGCTATATGTGCAGTAATGCCGGAAAACATTTTTTTATTCTGTTTTGCAGTCACTGTCGACAGTGTCGCTGCCGCCGCTTCTGCCTCTGCCTCTGCCTCTGCTGCCGTCACTGCTACTGGAAGCTTTACATAAGTTGACATTTTGCCAACGTTTTTAGAGCTTGGCTGCAGGTCCTTTGCACAAGTTCTAGTAACGCGCTGCGCAATCAGCTGCTGCTGCACCGCTTCAGTTCACCGTCGACGTCACTTGCAACCAGACTTTGACGTTTTTTGCAACTTGTTTCGCGTATGTAGTTTTTTTTTTGTTGCGTTTTCGTTTTATTTGAAACCGGCTCTCCAAAGGTTTGACAGCGTCTCTGCTGTTGCTGCTGCTGCTGCTATTTTTCAGCTGTTTCGTAAAGAGAAACGAAAAAAAAAGAAACAAATATAAAATGAAATAGAAGAAAAAGCAGAAAGTTAGAAACAACCAGCAAAGGTTCTCGACTACGAAATTCCCTGTATTCCGTTTAACAGTTGTAACTAGCTCTGTTGTAGTAGTGACTCTCAAACTGTGCTCGATTTGATCACTGAAATCTTGCTTTAATTATCGCGAAGTTAATTCTATCGAAGATCAAAGAGAATTTTCACAGTATTGATTGACACACTGGATATGTAAATGGACGCGAAAAAGAGGAAAATGGAAATCAAATATAACGCGGTTAATATCCAAGAATTTGAAATTATTCAAACTGTCAACTGTTCAAAGTATTGATATCTTGCGACATAACTGAAAACTTATCCACCCGATGCTCCCTTTGCGTACAGAGTATGAGCAGGGAGCCAAGTGGTTTCACTACTTTTGTACATTACATTTTAATTTGTATACGGTTATTTTTTCTCCCACTTTATTTCATTTAACTATTTGCCGTTTGGCTCTTTATTTTTTTTTTTTTTTTTTTTTTGCTTATTGTCAGTGCGTGGGGGCCTTTCGAAAAGCTCAAAGAAAATTTGATTTATAGCGCACCCGCAGCCAAACCCGCGAGCAAATACCGCTTAGCCTGCAGTCAATAACAAAAACAAAAAAACTAAAAATAAGTGTTAGAAATAATAATATTAATATATACAAAAAATAAGCAATGCAGCTAAAGTGGTAAATTAAAACCCGTTACTTTGACTAGCAAAACAATAAAAAAAATAAACCAAAAAAAAAAAATGTGAATTTAGACGAATTGCAGAACTTAAAGTCAACTGCTGCACAAGTACAAACAAAAAATGGCCGTCAGGATATACAGCAACAACAACTTCTAGCAGCAGCCGCAAACACAACTACACAAACAAAAGCACACACACACACAGCCACTCACATGTGAGGCACACACACAGATGCAGAAGCACACGCAACAAGAACGCAGGCAGATGGCATTTAAGGTAAGTCGTAAAATCTTTGCTTGAAATTGGGATCCAGTGTTGGTTAATTGCCTCGAACAGAGACTAATTTAAATACCCTGTATGTGAAATATCTTTGAAGTTGCCAGTCACATGTGGATAGCCTTGCATTACCTCGATACTTAACTTATTGATTATGTATTATACATATATATTCCAGGCACAAACTTAAATGTGCCATAATTGCATTATCTCTGAATTTTATCTTTGTGAGCTGCCAATTTTCATACGCGTGTTCATGGGGTGGTTAACTTCTTAAATAATTGTATTATTATTATCATTTTTCTGATGGCCTACTACTTAATTATTATTTATATTATCGACTCTTAACTCTAAATAGTCTATATAGTGATTTGCTTGTTGTGATGTGTCGTTGCATGGTTTTATAGTCGTGTGCCAAAGTTGGTCAACTTTTTAAACATTTTCATTTCAATTTCTGAATTACAAAATATTTTGAAATTAATGAGAGTGTTTATTAATCTTTTTTCTTTGTACGTGATATAAAATATCCATTAATCCTATTGATTATCTAAAACCAATTGAGCCAGCAACAAAGAGTCTTAAACTTCTCTCAAAAATCCTTGCCGGGCTAACGACCTCAACTTTAATTTTGCTCTACGTCAATTATTTAACGAGTGTCCAAATAGGAATACGTCTTCTACAGCTCAGTTTCGTGCTATTTCTCTATTGTCACGCTCTGAGTCGCATGATGAATTGCTTCGGTGTCTTTAATCAATCTTTCCGTGGATGTCAAGAACTTTTAGAAGCTTTTGCCAGACGAAGAATTCGGCATTTGATGTTGAGAATTTTTGTAACATTTGGAAAGAATCATTAGAAATTTGAAATATTATAGATTGTTGTAGATTGTAGATAACAATCTATACCTGTCTAGACTAAACTAATGGTGTCTACATATTTTTAGTATATCAATCGAAAACAAAATATAGTACACTTGCGTTAAAAAATAAAGGATATAATAAAAGTAGAAGAAGTAAAGACAATTAATTTTACACCAGGCTTAGTTTCTGTACCCGCCATAGAGAAAAAATCCTGCTCAGAGAATATGAATGAAGAATTCCAGGGTATGTGCACGTCACGCATTCGTTTGCGGCATGTCACTTGTTTTTCTTCAGAGCATCGCAAAACTTTAACAATTGAGTGTTGTGCATTTTTGTGTTATTTTTTTTTTATCGGTTTTCATTTTTTCTTTTCTTTATTTTGCGTTTGCGTTTTTTTCGCGAATCTTTTTTACGACTATTCGGCTGGGGTTCAACAGCGAAGTGAGGGCAAATTGTGGCCAACAGCGACCGCGGGCTCATTCAAAAGCCCGTCAAACCAGTCGCCAGCCATTTGGCTTTTGCCTAGCCCAGCCGGACGGATGGATGGCCGGACCAGGGGACTGGCGCGGGGGTACGCTATCTCGGGCTATCGGGCTGGCCAACTGGCTGACTGGCTGACTGACTGGCCAACTGGGCCGTTGATGACTTTTTACATAGCCAAAGAAGCGATGGCCCAAACCAAGACCCTAAACCAAAACCAAACAAGTAAGCCCGCGCTCATAGAGAATGCTCGACTGTCAGATGCTCTGTAAATAATATCCGCTCTGGATACATTTGACATAGACATTTAGTTGTTGCTTAAGAAAAGAGGAAAATAATTTGAAGCTAACAAGAAGTTTGTAGATCTGTATTTCTCATCATTGTGAATGGATTATCGAAACTAAATAAATTATTTATGTTTATACTTATTCCATCGAATAGAAAAAGGATTCTCTTATGCATCTAACTATTGCAGGATAAATAAATATACACCTTCTTCCTAGTCCCTACCAACAGTTCCACAAAATCAGCATACCCCACTCACGCACTCATTTGCAATGGGTATGGGATATAAAAAAGATACGAGCGCCGCACGTATCTAAACTTGTTTCAAACGTGTTACATTTAAGAACGCTCGCCGCTAGCGGCAAGTGGCAATAATCCTTTCAAATTGACAGTGTTGCCATGTCGCAGCAGTTGAAGAAGAGGAAGAAGCTGAAGAAGAAGAAGAAGCAGCAACACCAATGGCAGCGGCTGTAGAAGGGCTGTCAAGTGGGTGTGGCACATTGACTGAGTTTTGCTTTAGTTCGCACAGCATATGTGTAAATTTTGAACGAGAGGCGTTTCATAAGTTCATTGACAGCATGAAAATGAAACATGTCATATAACAGTGAATAAAACTGTATTAGGCATGCGAGAAACTAACTTATTTTGCTTAAAATCTTTTCTTCACTTATGAAACACGTTTTAAAGACAACATATATATGTATATAGGGTATATTGAGAGAAGTGGAGAAACGAATATAAAATAATACAAAAAAAGCTTTTGAAAATTCATTGATGTTTTAAGATAAAACTTATGTCTAAGATTTTTTGGAAGATATTGTCACATATTTATAGTTGTTTCAATGTCACATTGTCTCTAAAGGTCTTAAGTTTACTCACCATTTCTTCGCTCCAATCACTTTTCTTGTTTCCTGCTAAAGTCAAGCTAAAATTTATTCGATTCAAAGAATGCTATTTCTTTAGAATTTTATAAGATAATTGAATTGATAAATTGAATTTATAGTATAAAAATTTCAGTTTAATTTTGAAAACATGTGGATTTTCTTTTCTATTTCTTGAAATGAGAAATAAATATAATTTCCATTACAACTTTTAAAGCAGCCTTCTGTCGTGTGTCTATCCTGTCCATATGCTGTCTGTCATTGTCTGGTTCGAGCTCGCAGACATTTTGATTGCCTGTTGTCTGTATTGTATACCCTGGACCCATTGTCAATGCGAATTAGGGGTATAATGCTTATGTTTAAAACGCATGTACAAAAGGCATAGGGGACCGTGACCGACCAATCCAAGTATATATATATGCTTTATCAGTTCCAACCCTATTCGTTAGTCTTTTATCACTCTTTTTGGAACTTTAAAGTCTGACTGCAAGCGATTTAAGTCATTTTCGGAATGTAGTAAATATATTTTTCATTATAATTTTCAGATATTTGTATTAGAAATACAAGCTTTAAATGTATTTAAAAATTTTTAAATTGAAGTGCAGCTTAAAATATAACCAATATGAGAAAATTATATTTATAAAATACAATCTTTATGATACGATATTTATTATTTATTTAGCGACACATTTAGTAACAGAAAATAATATTTGAGCTAGCGTCAAGCGCAAGCATTTTCTTTATGCATGAACACAGATACACTCAAGTACTCAAGTAGATACATTAAAATTCGTATTCCATTCGCAAAATCACAAGTGCGATTGGACTGTGTTTGAATTAGATGTCAGCTTCTACTTTAGTATCTGATTAGCTACCTCATAAACAGAAAATGAACTCCTGTGCATGGTAGACGAAATTTGCAGACTCAGCCACGATTGCAAGCCAAATTAGAATACAAATTATATTACTGAGAAATTTGTACCTCAGTTGAAAATGATTTGAAGGCTACTCATTCTGAAGTCATTTGCAAGTTCGGGGTATCTGTGAATCGGTCACTCCCTGCGGTAGAGTTTTTATTCGTTTATCGTGTGTTATCATTTATTTGTTTATAGCGCAGCCATGTTGTGTTCGAGTGCAGTTGAGCTCTGCCGATATGGCAAAAGATGCATATATATAATAACTTTATTTTTACTCATTTTCATTTCTCGTTTTTCCAAACTCAATGGAAAATGAAAAAATAGATGCAAAAAGTGAAATTGATATTTTAGCTCAAATTGCCGTTAACAAGTCGGCAGCCTAGCAACAAATATTTTGGCTCCCAATACCACTAATACAAGCCCTACTCCATCCCCCACTCGCTAGCCAGGTGAACGGGAAATTGTTTACCGTGGTTCCAAAATGATGTAATTTCGCGTGCTCGTGCAATTCAATTTCCTGCCAGCGGAAACGCGCGTCGCTCTCTGCTCACCCAAATGCAAAAAAAATAAAAAAATAAAATAAAAAATAAACATCGGCACCTCCATCTCTCCCTTAAAAAAAAAGAAAGAAAAGCGAGCACCCTCGAGCACACAACTTGACAAGCAGTGTTCAAATTGTTTGGCAGTTCTTCTTCAGTGCGCTCCAACTTTAATTGTGCCCCGCACAGTGCCAAAAAATAATCGAGAAAGAAAGGAACGATAGAGAAGCATACAAAATAACATGAAATAATAAATAAATAAGAAATCAATTCTGTAAAATTCGCTATCTAAACAGCTTATCCGTTTTGCCCATCTGCCATTCAGGCGGGAGGGGCGGGGCTTTCAATAAAATATATCACATATCATTTGTGCGCCGGTTACATGAGCCAACAGCTGCCTGACTTTGGCATGGGCTTTGTCAGTCGGTTGCAGTGTCGGATATTTGAAGGTGGAATTTGTACACAATAAGATTTTCATCTCAATTCCTTGTTTATGTGTGTGCCAAACTCAGCTTAGTTTCAATTAAAATTACTCCATAGCCCCAACAAAAATATTTAAATAAAATCAGTGTTCGAGGCAAATTATATTTATACAAGCACTTGAATGTTTATTTCCATTATTTCGATCTGGATCAAATTGGAAGAGTAGAATTCGTATATACTTCAGTTTTCCTATATAATATATATCACATAATATATAATAATTGTGATTGGGGGAGTAGACTTCGTATTCGGCCCAGTTCTCCCATTTAATAATGTTTATATAATCATTTACTTATTAGAGAATAGATTCAATCTAATTTTTAGACTAACTATAGAATTAAGCACTGGCAACTGGGCCGTAGGCTTGATATATAATAGAAAATTTGGAGAACATATTATAGAATATTATTCCAGCTGGATTTCAAAGTAGAGCATAGCACTCAAGTCGTTTTGTCATAAATATGAGTATATGATTCCCAGGTGAAGTTACTTTACGATGTGCCCGCCATGGTCACTATTTTAGTACGATCGTAGAAACTATATTGCTTATGTCATTGGGCCATAAGAAAGAGAAACATATAAAAACAGTCAGAGAGCGTAAACATTTAATTCTCAGTCCCAATCTCCACGTTCACCTGCGCCACTTAGTGTCGGCTCGGCTTTGAAAAGCTTCAGTGTTATAGCTTTTATAGTGTATATTATGTGCGGCATTTGCGATGTACGTCCATGTTATGTGTGGAGTGTTGAATTTTCAAAATGTTTGGCATATTTCGCATAAATAAATTACATTCAAAGCTGGTGCTCCGGCCAGGCAGGCCAGGCGGCCCAGCCAGCCCAGCCTGCCCAGCTCAGGCCGGCACCGAGTCGAGGCTCGACTCCGGCTGTCCGAGCAGCCTATATTAACAATAATTCCTTAGTGCTTGGCATCTTGCCAAAAAGTTTTTGTATTTTGTTAGCCCGCACAGCAGGCGACGAACGTTTTGTGGCCAATTTCGGCTGCAAACGGGGAGCTGTGGCATGTGCCATGGACGCCGTTTTGTGACCCATTGTCAGTTGAAGTTAAATGCGACGCCTGACACAAAAACCAAAATAAACTGCAAAGAAGCAAAAAATATATATGTATGGCGGAGAGCGCTGCTGGCAAAGGACAACGCACAACTTACGATGGGCATTGCACAATGAACACCACAAAGTCCGGTCCGGACCGAACTGCGAACTCTTCAGTTTCAAACGTGACGTTTGTCAACCATTCAAAATGCTGCGGCATTGCAACTGTCCTGTGAACTGGGACCGAAAAGCAAAGCCGACTTTGAACTCCGAAAGAGTTCTTTGTCAGCTATATGTAAAAGATGATGCCCGGAGTTCACTAAATTCAACAATTATTTGCGGTAGCTGCCCCGACTTCACTGGAGAGTTGCCTCTCCGTTGTCAGCGATAAATGTGAAGGATTACGAGAGCTCCGTTCATATAGAAGCTGTTACTTTGATCAAAGCTAACATTACTTTTCCATTCGAATGAAGTCATTGTTCGTAATATACTAAATTTATTTTTGATAAGACTTCCATTAAAAGCACAACATTGTTCTGCTCATCTGCTTTATAGGTAAGAAATGAATCCAAAATCTTTTGGCTTAGGGATCAATTTGTCAGAGCTTTCATCTATACGCTTCGATTCTATATACATATAACGTTTAATAAAACTGGTGATTTCATATAAATGACATACACAATTCGTAATGGTTTGTTTAATATATATTCTATACTTATCAGTTTTATAATATATTCTAAATTGCTGCTTCATCCCTAAATCTATTGATTTATGAGCAATATTTCTTGAGATTCAAATACAATTTTTAATGTAAAGTAAATTGTTTTTCGAAAATATTTATGGGCATTGAAAACCTTATATAATATATATGTATAGCCTTTTATCCGTTTATTCATATACTATATGAAAAAATAAGTATATTGAAATATTTATCTAATAATAATTTTAATGGGCGAAACATATATTAAAATTCAGGCTGGACGAAGAATTAAAACGAAATCGTTTAAGCCAGATCAATATTTTCTCAATACATTTATCGATTCTCATTGAATCTGTATTTATATGCCTGTATATATGCAAATGATTCTCTTTTAAATTGATCTCTAGCATAAAGAACTCTTAGATATTTGGTATCCAAAACAAAATGGAGCCTGCTTTTGTTTTTAATAGTATTTCATACGTATGTGGGAGAAAAATACGCGACTAATACTCTAGGGGAGTTTTCAAAACATAAAATAAAATGTTAATTTGCACCTTTGACGCATCTTGAGTAGATGACTCCGACTTATAGAAAATTCTGCCGCTGGCTGTTGTAGATGTAATAATAGCCGCCGTTGAAACGCAGTGTGACCATATTGCCGGGCGTTGCCGCAGAATCGCCGGAGTCAATGGGACTGGGCCGCAACGACTGCGTCAGATTAATGGTGCGATAGAAGAACGCGGTCAGAAAGCTGGCACTTATCACAAAGGCTATAAAGAAGCCCAGACAAAATACACAATCCTTGTTCACCTGCAGGCACAGGCAGAAGGCACCAGCAAAGTCGCCCAGCGTATGCCCGATCCGGCCGAGCAGCGTGTTCGGCCGCGGACGTGAGGCATACGCCGAGGTGGTATTCGCGCTAATTGTGATTGTGTGATATCTGCGCTCACAGGGAGCGACTGCGGCTGTGGCTGTGGCTGCTGCTGCAGGTAAGGGTGCGGGTGTGGTTGAGGTTGTATCTGAATGAGTTTGCTGTTGCTGCTGTGATTGCTGTTGTGGTTGTCGCTGCTCCTGCTGCTGCTGCTGTTCTTGCAGCTGAATGCCTCGGGCATTGATCTTGGGTCTGATTGTGCTGGTGACATCCACTCGCAGGCTATTCAGGGGCAAAGTCTGTGTGCCCAGCTCACAGTTCTGAGTCAATTGTAGCTCCGTGCAGGTGCAAGTCTCGCCGCGTCTCACGCTCAGCACGTGTTCCTCCAAATTGCGGGTGTAGCAGTCGAGCAGTCGCAGAATGCGCTGCAAACGCGCATCGGTCGACTGCACTGAACTGGCAACTGCTTCAACTGCTGCACCTGCTCCTGCTGTTGTCTGCTCCAGCTGCACTATTTTGCTGGCTTCCTCTGCATCCTTTTCAGTTTCGCTTGCCGACAGCATATAGTCAATCATATCCTTGACGAGAGCCTTGGCCTCGTCTAGCTGCTGGCGCTGCTGCCAGTCGAAGTTTACAAATCTCGGCTTCACCCGAACTCCTTCCTCCAGCTCCAGTTCCAGTTCCAGCTGCAGCTGTTGCTGCTGTGACTGTTGCGGCCGCTGCTGCTGCTGCTGCTGCTGTTGCAGCTCGTCCGTCTCCGTTTCGTTCACGTTCGCATCGGGCAGTTGCACGTGCGTTTCCCGCTGCTTCGTGTTGTCGTCGTCCATTGTTAATTTTGGCTTATGTTTTTTGTTTCCTTTTTTTTTTTTTTTTGCCAGACCTCAAACCAAATACATTTTCAATATTTTTGACAGCTCAACGGGGATGCTTCATTTATTTATATTTTTTTTAATATGTTAGTTTTGATTTAAAAGTTTTTGTAAAAAATTCAAAATTTTATTGCTTCATGGCCTTTAGAGCGACAAGTAGTGCCATCGTCATAGACAGCCTGATAGCTGAGTTAGTTCAGGAGGTTATTAGCGATCGGCGTTTATTGACGAAGGATTCAAATCATATTGAAATAGGCCCATGCGAAAAGCTTTTTGAGGTTTTGGGCATCACACAATGCGGCCGACAGGGCGCCGATGACAATGTCAAGATACAAGCCGCTCACCTGGAGAGCAAGATGGCACACGAGAGCATAGATGCTACAGCTCCGACGGATCCCTCAACCGGCTACCCGGCCAACGAACCAAATCAGAAATGGCACAGTTGGCTAGAACAGGCTCTGGCTGCAGGTAATCAAAAGACTTATCGTAATTCAACCCGCTAGTTACTGATGTCACTAGAGAAACCGTACGCGGTAGCAGAAATTAGTATCTCCTAGGCGTTTACGCAAATAGTTCTAGACCTTTGCTCTTGTTCCTCATCCGTTAACATAAACTGAATTGTTGAGCTGTCCCAAAACCACGTATCAGATAGTATGATATGATATATGATGCTATTCGATTTTATTAGCTGAATCCATCAGTTTATATTAATACTTCTAAACGAGTAGAGCATAGGCGATCAACATATATCTATCTTAGCGTAAACATGTTTTCTTTTTGAATCAGCACAGATAATGAGAAGCTCTCCCATAAACAAAGATCAAGAACTAGGAACAGTCATAATTTAGTTCGTACCGCCAACTGCTTTGATTATCAAATATTTTCCGCAGATTGCTCTGAAGATGAGTTGGAAATTTATCGCAAGCAACAAAAGTCAATCAAGGAGTCTACGCATATCGCCTGTCAAACGGAACAGCCGCGTATCCGGAAGCGTAATCAGGTGCCGATAGAAACGTTCGGGGCTCGACAATTGCGTGGCGCCCCAGCAGCACCTTGTGAAATGAGTCGCCAGACAATATACATTGATACGATGTCCACGCCTACGCCCAGCATGCAGACCCGTCCGCCTCTGGCCGACCGGTTCTGCTATATGTTGACCGATTTCGCATCGGCCCTGTACTGTAGTCTTGCCATCATGTGTTGTTGTACCCCCAGTATGTTTCGATAAATATGGGTGGTGTTTAACAAATGTATCATTTTTCATTTCAATTTCATTTGAGTTATCGACAGCAACAGCTCCAGGAACAGACACGAGTGAGCCTATGAAAAGGCGTCGTGCTGTTAAGTTCTTCTTCTTTTCTTGAATAATAGGTACAGATCTTGCATCAACCGAAATTAATTTGATCTGTAACAGTAAGTTGAAAAGAAATCTTTATTTTGAAAACATCCTTATCAAGACAAAAATGTAAACAATCTTTCATCTACGGGAAATACCAGATCTTAACGGCATTCTTATAAATCCATTAATTCGACTTTCGAAAAACCGATGACATAAGGAAGGTGTCTCACTCCTCTTACATCATCGATCTTTCGTTTCAATTGCATTTTAACTATGGATAAATCATTGAAGGAACGGCTCATCAGTCAAGTGGGGGCAGAGGCAAGCGGCTACGAGTGGATGCGAGTGAGCGGGTGCTTCACACTCATCTGCTGGCCCATGTTGCCCTCGATGAAGCTGTAGTAGTGCGCGATGATCAGATACAGACACCAGAGGCAGAGCAGGACGAAGAGCACATAGGTGAAGTTCTCGCCCATCATGGCCAAGCAGGCAATCACCGTTTGACCCGCTTCGTGCAACACTTGCAACAGACGTTGACGCAGTGGAGCGCGCTGCAGGGCGGTCGTTGAGCTAATCGACTCTACTTCAATGTGCAGGGTATGCGACTGAGTTGGCAGCAGCTGTTGCGCAGGCGGCAGCTGCGGTTCCTTTTTCTTGAACTTCTCTAACTTTTCCAGCTTGAGCAGCTTCTTCTGCTCGATGGGATCCGTCCAATGGGTCTGGCTAGCCATCTCACAGAAGAACTTGGGCCGTGTGCAGCACAGCGTGGACTCCGACAACTGCATGCGGTTTAGACTGGCGCTCGTCTTCACCTGGTCACTGCAATCACCTGAAAGAGACATATCCCTTAAACAGGTTTTCATAATTCTAATGGTCATAATTGTAAAAATTCCAATATATAATTTAAATAAATCTCAGAGGAACATCTAAAATAATAATAGATATTTTTGATATGCGTCTTTTGATTGCTTTCTATAAATCATTTGTCGAATTAAATGACTGTTATATAACCAGTCACTATCGATATTTATCGATTTATTCAACCTATCTAACTGAAACTGATCCTGAACTTGCCCGATACTTCCCCAGTTTCCGCACTTACTGTTCGCCGGCTGGAAATGTGTCGATGTGAACTGCTCGGACTGCGTGCGCTTCAGCTTCGGCTGCGTTTCCTGCTCGCTCTCCTTCATGATTTTCGAGTAGTCCTCGAAGAGATTAAGCAGCTCGACAAACCGATCCGTAATCTGCTTGTGGCTCACTTGCACCTCGGTCAGAAAAGTGGACGCCGCTTGTGTCGCTCCAGTTGAAGGAGGCGGCTGCACAGTGGGTGCTGTGGATTGTGGATCTGTGCTGGTTGCTTTTATGTTCCAGCCAATGTTCTTTGGATCGGCACTGAGGTCTGGGCCACACTCATTCACCCCCAGATCGAGCGGCACTGCCGTCCCATTGTCGGGATTCTCGTCCGCCTGGGTGGGCATTTTGTCTGGTTTTGTGAGGATCTGCTCTACTTGGGGGCTCCTCTGTTGGTTGCTATTCCTGTTGCTGTTATTCTTGTTGTGTGGTGTAAGTGTGTGTGTATTGGGGTTAATTTCGATTCGAATTTTTAAGTGTACTTATACATATGTGTTGTATATCTCGTATTTTGTCTGTCATTTCGAATATTTACCCAGAGTCGGTATCAAATTGTCAACCCCAAGTTCAGCTTCGGTTTCGTCTACTGGATAATTCTCTGTGCACTAAATTAAGCAATTTTGTGGAAGCGTCTGCTGAACTCTACTGCAGCCAACACCCCCGGTCCTGCCTGCATAGCCGGTCTGACCATTGTCCAGGCTAGCCCCGTCCTCGCCATCAGATGACAATTATAACGGTCTGCTGCACGTATATTACATTATTTTGCATAAATGCATTTTGCTTCAGTTCTCTTGTCAGGCTAAGCATTGTTCGGGGTTTGTCGAATTCCCAACTTTATTCATGAGATGAGCTTCACCCGTTTTCAAATAAGTTTTAGACATTAAAGTATATTTACTAATAAGTTGTTACAGCCTCTAATTTACATACTTTGACTTTATATAATATAATATATATATATTATCCTAGCTTAAGCATCATTAATATTTACTTAAGCTTGTTTATTGTTAAATTTTAATTTCGTAATATTTTGAGCTTTTGATTAATCTTTTACGATTTTCATTGTGAAATATTTGCGGCAGTTGGCATGTTGATTTAAGTTTCAGAGAAGTCATAAAACTCTAACTTATTCATTGAATGCCTCCAGTGGGAGGGCTCAACAGGAAATCATTTGATATTCGTTTTATGCCTCAAAGCTTTGTCCACTCGCTTGGCTGCACCTGCCACTACAGGCGGCAGTCACTGTGGCAAGTCTGTGCTCCGCAGCCTTTTGGCATTGATAATGCTTAAAGGGCTAAAGCGCGCCGAAGATTTATATTGGCAAAAATCTACGTTTCGATGTAGAGGCAGCAACAGCAGCAGAAACAGCAACAAACATAAAAGAAAATACAATTTATTGATTTTTTCGCACATAGTACATTACGTGTGTGTGTGTGTGTGTGTGTGTGTGTGCTGTGTTTGGGAAGGTAAAGGTGTTGGTGAGTGTGTGTGCTCAGTGTGCTGTGTGGGAGGTAAAGGTGTGTGTGAGTGTGAGTTTGTGTGCTCATCGATGTTGGAGCAACGCCTGCATCCGTTTCATCTGCCTCTTTGTGTGTGTTCGTCCGAGAAGTGTTGAAGCAAAACAACTCAACAAGCCTGAGGCATGTCCCTTGCTGATCAATTGAAGTTTTATATTTCACGTTTCCCGTTTTCAAATGAAAAATATTATGGATTTTCATTGAATATAAGAGGGGAATCCTCCAATAAATACACGAATTCTTTTCAGTTAAGATTTTTTTTTTATGGTAATCTTTTAGTTACTTCAATTATTTGGGATATATTATGATGGAATTTAAGCAGAATATATCAGAGTTTTTATGATTATAATGCTTAAATTTTTGGGGACACGGTCATATGAGATAGAATGATAGCTGTCAATGCTTTAACTTCTTATAAGTGAAATGGACTCTAATTAATTTAATTTTACATACTATTAATATTTACATATGGCCAGATATATGTAAAATATATTATATATGTATGTATATAAAAAACAAGTAAGAAAGCTCTAGTCGAGACTGCTCGACTACGAGATCCCCTGAACCCTTGGAGCAATAGATATTTCAATACTTTTTCGCGACTTTCAGCTTACACAAGAAACACGCACACACACACACACGTACGCAAACACAGGCACACATACACACACACGCATACAGACACACATACACACACACACACGCATACATACACAAACGCATACACACACACACATACACACACACATACACAAACACATACACACACAAGCAACCACGCATAAACACGCATGGGCTGCAGTGTGCGCTTACTATGAGAACTTAATTGTTTAATAACTTTTTTTATGGACGTACGATCTTCATGAAACTTTTAGATTATGATTATAACATGAATATGCATGTAATTGCCAAAGCACAAGTCTCTAGTATTTGAAATACGCTTTTTACAAAAGTGAGGGTGAGGGGGAGAATTTAGAGGTGGGGGGTAAATTTTAACAAAAATCGAAATTGTATAAATTGCATATAAGCATACATTAAAAATTTGGAGTCTCTAGCAATAAAGGTGTAGAAGATATAATTTTATAACAGGGTTTCGATAAGGTTTTTTATCGATAAAAAAAGATCGAGATGAGTTATCGATTTTTAATGATAAACTTGATATGCGCGCTGTAATTACGGACATTTTAAAAAAAATTTGAAGTCTCTAGCTCTTATATCTTCTGAAATCGACGCGTTCATACATACGGACAGACGGACAGACGGACAGACGGACAGACAGACGGACAGGGCCAAATCAACTCAGCTCTTCGCCCTGATCAAGAATATATATACTTTATGGGGTCTGCCACGCCTCCTTCTGCCTGTTACATACATTTCAACAAAACCATTATACCCTGATTTCCCATTGAAAATGGGTTCAGGGTATAAAAAGTAAGAAAACTCTAGTCGAGACTGCTCGACGAGATCCCCTGATCCCTTCGAGCAATAGCTATTTCAATCATTTTTCGCGTCTTTCTGTTCACACAAGAAACACGCATACACACATACACACATACAGACTTATGATTATAACATGGATATGCATGCATTTGCCAAAGCACAAGTCTCTAGTATTTGAAATACATCTTTTAAAAATATGTGGGTTAGGGGATGGATATAAGGGTGAAGGGGTAAATTTTAACAAAAACCGAAATTATATAAAATGCATGTAAGTATACATTAAAAATTTGGAGACTCTAGCGTTAAAGGTTTAGGAGATATTATTTTGCAACTGGTTTTCGATAAAGTTTTTTATCGATAAAAAATAACGGGATGAGATCGATTTTTTGTGATAAACTCGATATCCGCGCTGTATATACGGACATTTTAAACAAAATTTTAAAGTCTTTAGCTTTTATATCTTATGAAATCGACGCGTTCAAACATACGGACAGACGGATGAACGGACGGACAGGGCCAAATCGACTCAGCTCGTCGCCCTGATCAAGAATATATATACCTTGTGGGGTCTGCCACTCTTCCTTCTGCTTGTTACATACATTTCAACAAAACCATTACACCCTGATTTCCCATTTTCAATGGGCTCAGGGTATAATAAACATCATATCTGAAGTCTCGCTTTATATCAAACTGAATTTAGCAAGAGAAGAAACTGTTGTCCTGTAAGCCAAATTGCTTGTTGCCTAAACACTGTTAAAAATATATTTAAGCCGCACTTGTCTCGTTAATTTATGAGGTGTTGCCTGATTATTCTCTCGACTGGCTACATAAATATGTGTAGATATATGTATATGTCTTAAAGCCAGCGCTTCGTTGCCAAAAAATTTCGAGCTGCTGCCCCAGTAGACTCTAAATCAGTTCTATCTGCTGTGCTACTTCTACTCCCACTCCCAAACAGCAGGCCATAAATATTGTTTGCTTATGCTGTGCTAGACTTTATACATATATGTATACATAATATATAGAATATTTTTGGCTTAATGCTGGCTTGTTTTCCATTGCTCGCCTCGACTCGACCCGCTCGTTTATCATCGCGTGGTGCAACTCGGCGACTGCCCCTGCGGCATGCCATCTAAGTTTAGCAACTCGCTCAGCATGCATTCAATTAAGTCCTGCCACAAGATTTGGTGCCGATTTCAATCCCGCGCTATCATCATGATTATTGCCACAAGATTTTTTGGCAAGCGCGCTGCCTCATCAGCCCAAGATTAGGGATGGAGTCATTAGTGTTGCTATTCGGAAAATCATATAAATAATAATAATGCATGTTAATTTCAAATATGCCTAAATTGAGGAATGCCTAAATGCATGCACTCTTGTCAAGTCTTGAATTTATTTACAGCTCTCACTATCCTTAATTCTTTACTAACAGAAATATAGAATGGAACAGTATTGAAAAAAAAGAAAAAATAAAAATATAACAAATGAATAATAGTTTATTGTGTATATAATTTTTTGTAAAACTTAAGCTTGTATTTCTGTGAAAAGTAAGAAAACTAAAATGCTTGTATGAAATGAATAACATTTTATATGAAGAATACTTAAGTAAAAAGAAATTCATTTAAATCGTATATGCTGAGGTATTATGTAGTAGAGCTGGGAAATCCATCGAGGGCCGTATCGATAGTATCGATGGAACTCGTGAAGTGCGATTAATCGATGGAAATTTTTTGATTTCGATCTATCGAAGTTGTTTCGAGCGTGGTAGCGTGTAAGGTACAACAAAAATAAATTGCAATCTTTTTTTTATTAATTGTAATTTTTTAGCTTTCAACAGATTAAAATAGTTATGTGCATAATATACAATAGCAATGAACAAGTTCTTACAGTCCTCTCGTAACTATTTCACACGGATATAATTGTAAGCCCTTATGAATGGTAAAATAATATTTATGTATACCAGCAAGTTCTGCCGAATCGGAAAGAACATTTGGAAAAACAGGAGCGATTGCTTCGGACCGACGGTCGAGTTTAAAGTCAACTATGGTATTTATGAACAAAAACCAATAGCTTATTAATTAAAAGACTTATTTTTGACTTATTCTGTCAGTATCCACCAGGTTAAGTTATCAAAATAAAGCTATTGTTTTTTTTTTTTTTTTTTTTTTTTTTTTTTTTTTGTTACACAATAAGTGATTCTTGTTGATATCAAAATGAAGTTATTTTTATTTAAGCACATGTGATTCTCCTAACTATAGATATCATGTTAAAGTTATATCTTTCTTTGAAAAGTTATAAAATTTCTTCAAAAACATAATTAATTTTTTTTTTTTTTTTTTTTTTTAATTTTATTCGCGGGGCTTAAACAATTTTAAAAAAAATGTTTAAAACCTTCACTAGTTTTAAACAAACCCTTTTAAATTACCGATGAAAATTTCGATGGTATCGATGGTTTTTTCCATCGCTGCAAAATCCATCGAGTGGTGCCAACATCCATGGATTCCCAGCTCTATTATGTAGATAATCGTCAATTGGAATATATATTCTCTAGTCGTGAAACTGAGACAGAGGCTGAGATTAAAATTTCCCTCAT